TTCAAAGTGAGATGGTTTCCATTTATAGGCTGTTTTCCTGTTTCTTGTCTTGTTTAACGATTTTGGAGTGGAACATAGACAATATAAACACAGTCTTCTTGAATGTTGTGTGTTGTCTTCATTTAAGGAGTGTTGGTCATTGTTCTCTTTTCCTTTACTCCTTTAAAAGTTATTTTAATATACTGTTTTTACGTCTTGAGACTCGCACAAAAGCAGAGGATGTATTTACATCATATTTAACTCCTTCACTACAACTCGACTTACTCTGTCCAAGCCTTAAGTTTACTTCAGCTGACTCTGGCACAGTTTTTACTCTAGGCACAGGTCAGCTCTCCTGCCAAGACCAGCCACTTCTGGTCTTTTCGAAGTGCTGAGGGCAGAGACTGGCTGCTCTACCTAGCCTCAGCTCCACTCCCTGCCCTCTTGGAGGTCTGCCGAGGGCTCGTTCCACCGCAGTTTGGCCATTTGATCCCTGGCTTCACTCAAGTTTTCACTGTGTGCAAGTGCAGGGCACCCGTACCTCTGACATGTGGACTCCTACTTTCGGTAGCCTCCCTTCCCTCCAGAACTCTACCCACCTCTTTCGGGTGCCTTAAAATTCTGTTCAAACTCCCGGGAGGCCACTCTGTTCTTACTACCGAGTCTCAGCACTACCATCAAAGCTGTTCCTAAACAAGACACTGTGTCTGTGGTGGGGCCCATGTCAAATATTTCCCTTTCCTAAGCCATCATGGTCTTGGATTTCCTATGTTCTAATCTCTGAAAACATCTGCTTCTGATATTTTAGCCAGTGTTCTAAGCTGTTTATGACACAGGGGCAACCGTAATCCTTGTGTCAACAATGACACAGAACCAAATGCCCACCTTCCGGTACCTCTCATCCATGCGCAGTACATCACTGATACACGCTCACCTCCGGAATGAAAAGCTTCCAGTTTATGACATCCTTAGGATGTTTTGTTTACTTGTGGTGCTAGAGGTCAAATCCAAGGCCTTGCACATGCTAATCAAGTGCTCTTCCACTGAGCTACATTTCCATGCTAAATCTTGTTCATTAAGATGTATTTGATAGCTATTGTGGGTTGTGAGTGAGGAGCATGACTTTTACCTATCTAGGAAGTAAACAGGTCGTGCAAAGCGATCTGCAGAGGAAGAGAGGTGCTACAGTCTAGACTCAAGCAATTCCGTTCTGGATTAACCAAGTGTTTACAATCCAGGATTTATCAGAACCTTGTTACTTTGAAACATATTTTAGTCTCTCCTTACAGGAGTAGACAAAGCAAAGTTTGTCAAGATAATACAGCATCTCTCACATGTATCCCACCCTTGATAAGTGGGTGCTTGATGTTCAAAGACCACAAAATCCATTACTCAAAATCAAGAAAAATAATATACCCTAGTAATACAGGGGTTTTTTTTTGGGGGGGGGTGAGATGATGAAAGTGTTTATAATTAGATTATGATTGACAACTTTATAGAAACTGTGAACTTTAGCAAGTGAACTTTATTGTGTGTGAACTGTATCTTGATAAAGCTTTTTAAAAAACCCTTTATTTGAAATAATTGATGTGAAATTTATCTCATTGCTTCATCACAACTTTATGCAATAATTGTATCTTTTTCCATGCCCATCTGCATCATCCTTAGAGCAACAGGATGCAAAGTACTTAATTCCTGGCAATGATTGACGTAGATAACATTTTAGTATGAAAAGGCTGGGTGTAACCAAAAGAAAATGAGGACTATTAGACAGGAAGTAAATAGATCATTTTGAAGGTGTTCTCTGGAACCTTCCCTGGCAATGAGAGAAGCATGAGGCATGCAACAACACGAGGTGCCTCTTGGGGGTTAGTTTTGTTTTTGTTTTTTGGGTATCAGCATCCTATAGACTGGAGGAGAGGTCCATTGCAAGTGCTAGGAATTAACATTAAGCTGTACATTTTATACAAAGAAGCCCCTTCTCCTGAGTGAGGAAGATCTGACTCTTTTACCATAAAGCTTAAAGAGTCACAGTCAGCAAGAGGCCTGTTTGCACTGGCTTCGGACTGTATTCAAGTTATTTACATAACTGTCTCATCAACAGTCTGGTCAAGGCAGTGTATGCCTGTAGTCCCTGATTCTCAGCTTCTAAGGAGGCTGAGACAGGAGCATGGCTTGATCTGGAAATTCAGGGCCAGTCTAAACACCATACTGAGAGCCTATCTCCAAACACCTCCAGATCTAGCCAGCTGTTGTGGTGCACATCTGCAGCGCTAACATACAAGAAACTTGGAAAGGAGGGCTGCTGAGAGTTTGAGGCCAGCCCAGGCTATATAGCAAGACCCATTCAAAGGAAAACAAAATAAAAACCAAAAGGCAAACAAACAGACACATTCTGCTTAAAGTGGTTTAGAGCTACAGCTCTGTTTTTTTGTTTTGTTTTTGTTTTTGTTTTTATTTTGTCCATAAGGATATGACATGCTGGTAGCATTTGCTAAGAGAATATCACACAATAGAAAAAGGATCCTGTTGCTTTCCTGCCTGGGGCAACTCAGTTCTCTACTCTGTTGAGTGAAGAATTCTACTCTTGGATGCTCAGCGTCCTGCCCAGTGCTAAAAGTATATTTTCATGTCATCCCCACACTTCCCAAATATCTAATACCCATCAGTGTTCCCGAGAGAAAGCACTCATCTGTAATGCTAGCCTAAAACCTGGCTGCTCTCCTGCTCCACTGACTCTGACATTATGCCTCTTGTCCTTAGATCTAACCATTGAGTTACAGTTCCTGGAAACTCGGTCTCACACAGGGGATTGATGAGTTGCGGCTGGGCTCTCTCTATCCTTGTGTCTGCAGCTGAGGCAGGTTATCTCCCTGACCCCGTAAGGACATGAGAGTTTAGGTAGGGTAGATTTCTCAGGCTTTACAAGTTCAAGTTGACACTTCTAGGTTTTTAAGTGTTTTCTTTACAGTTATTTATTCTGTATGTTTGCCTGTGTGAGCACCTACATGCATGCATATTCTAGGCATGTGTATGGAAGTGAGAGGAAAACTTTCAGGGGTCCATTCTACCCTTCTACCACGCAGGTCCTAAGGATGGAACTTGGGTCACTAGTTTTGGTAGCAAGTACCTTTACCTGCTGAGATGCCTTACAAGCCCTGAAGTTAATAGTTTGAATTGTATGTTATTGTTATTACACACAGACACCAAGAGAAACTCTACTAATTATTGCCTTTCTTTCTGAGGAAGCATCTGGGATCACAGCTAAAGAACACGAAGTTTTGAGTCATAAGCTTAGTTTGTAACTCTGCCCTGGTGTTGATGCTCTGAGGGTCTTTAGACAAATATGTAAGCTCTCTTAATCTTAGTCTACGCCTTTATAAATATCTCACAGGGAAGATGAACTTACTCAGAGGAAATGTTTATCACAGTGAATATTGCCGAAGCACGGCTCAGAAAAACAATCAGTGATGTGGTGTGGATTGTGAATTAGGCTCAAATTCCCATGTGTTGGTGGCTTGGTCCCCAGGGTACGGAGCTATTAGGAAGTGTGGGCCTAAGACTCAGCGGGAAGGAGTTAGGTCACTGGGGGCTTGCTTGGCCAAGGGGACTCGAACCCCTTAACTCCCCCTTCTCTCCCTTTGCTCCTTGGCCCATGAGGAGAACAGGTTTCCTCTAGAGCACACTCCCAGCCTGCCTTGATGTCACACCTTGCCACAGGCCTAAAATGCAAAAGAACCATTCATAGAGTAGTCTCTGAAACCGTGAACCAAAATCAGTCTTGTCTCTTTTGAAGTTTATTTTCTTTTCTGGTCCTTTATATAAAAATACAAAATTGGTGAGCACAGTTCAATACCAATATTGACATTTATTGTTCATCTCAGGTTATTATCAGCTCAATTATTCAAGTAGGACATTACTTTCCCAAACATTTACTAGAGAGAAAATATTGAACATTAACCTTATTTAAATAACCTGTGTAATCATTTATTTATGCTTGGTTTAATGAGATGGAGTCTTGCTGTGTAGCCTAGGCTTATATTCAAGATCCCCCTGCCATCAGAGTGATTATATTACAGGTGTGCATGACCATGCCTAGATCTACTTGTTTTTAGTGAGTGGGTTTCTCTGTCTTTTCTAGTAATGTGTTGGGAACATCTAACTTGCAGAATATGACCCAAATAGAATAACCAAACTATCTAGACTATGAAGTGATGGTTATACTCCTTTAGATAATTTCATATCCCTCAAATACTCTAAATAATGATGATTGACATGAGCCAGGTGGTACATACTACATCAATGCTGTGGTGTGGGAAGATGACTTCTCTAAATACTGAAAAGAGAAGGTGGAACTGAACCTTTGCTTCTCTGTCCAGACAGAAGTCTTTGTCACACTGATGTCCATGCAACTCTTTTTGCTAATTACAAAAGTCATTTCAAAATTAGTTACAAAATGAGGTCACAAAAGTGATGTCAGAGCATTCTGTCCAGGATCAATCACTTGCTTTGTAACATTTTGCTCATGAATTCCCCAAGATTAGAGTAGACAGTGAACTGATGAGGGCCTTTTTAACCCATCTACAAAGTTAGGTGACTGATCCATGTTGTCTCTACAATCACCCCCAGGCCTGAGGTGAGTTCCAATACAGGTAGAGCAGACTGCCCTCCATCATGATGGCCATGCTTGTAATGTTCTTTGTAACACACCTGGGCATTCAGATGGACTGTTCCTTAATTCTAAATGTGTCTTTCATGTTCAACTCTAGCGTAACACTATGTCCTATGCTGTTTATTCAAAGATAATGTCATTTATCAATACAGTCAAGATCACATTTAATTAGCATAGATATGCTATACTTATTGGCAGAGGAAAATATCTGCATGCAGTCCTCTCTGAATCCTGGATGTGCATTGTGCAGATGAGGCTACCCCCTCTCACAGATTCTGTTGCTAAACTCTACCATACAGCCAAATTTAAAAGGGGAGCCACATGTTGATATTTATTCAAGAAGTCATATGATTTTACTTGGGAATTATATTTAAATAACATTAGTAATTTGGGTCACAATTTGAGAACACCAAGACCTTGAGATTGAATGTTCTTATATTCTCTCGTATGTACGAGTACAGATGACATTATTCAGTGCACTTTCCTGGAAGACAGAAGACGGAAATAGTTCAGTAAAGCTAATAAAATGACATCTAGGAAATATTAACTGAGCACTATCCACATATGAGAATTCTGGGAAGTTTCAAAAGAGATCTATATTAGATTATACAGATAGGTACTACTGGTATACATATTATCCACAGTGGGTCTGTATATACAGGCTAGGCAAATATATATTTAAAAATGTGAAAAGAGAAGGGACTATAGTTTGGAACCTGAAGCTTTTATTTATGTATTTTGAGGCGCTACATCAAAGCATTTTTGCTATCTTGTGCACTGTCCAGTTTTTAAATAAGAATACTAACTTACATGGATGTAGCATTGCACGGTTTTCAGAAAACAGACAAATTCAGCTCTCTCAGAAAGCCTTCTGAGATACCACTTAAGGAATTGTAAGTCATGGGAAGATTAAATGACTTGTCCAAAGTTCTGATTGATAGATATAAAACCTTAGATTCTGAGTCTAAGTGTTTTTCCTAGTGAAATTAATTGCTACTATTGAACCATTGTTTGCCTATTGGCTAATGTTATTCTTTCTTTCTTCAAGACAGGGTTTCTCTGTACAGCCCTCGTTGCTCTGAAACTCACTCTATATAGATCAGGCTGGTCTTGAACTCACAGAGTTCCACCCGCCTCTGCCTTCCAAGAGCTGAGATTAAAGGCATGGGCCACCACCATCCAGCAATAAACTCATTTTTTTTTTTTTTAAGATTTATTTATTTATTATATATACAACATGTATGACCAGAAGAGGGCACCAGACCTTATTACAAATGGTTGTGAGCCACCATGTGGTTGCTGGGAATTGAACTCAGGACCAATAAACTCATTCTTAATCCTCTCCTTTTGATGTAAAAAAATAAAATTCAGCCTTCCTTACAGCAAGAAAAATGTCCTGTATTAAGAGTGAGGACAGACCTTTTTCTTTTCCTCAATGCAGATCTTGTGTCTTTCCTTTGAACTAAGTTACATTATGCCAGAGATTGCCAGAGGTAGCTTTCTTTTTCTTTTTTCTGGTAGAGTTTGGGATAAGAATCATTGCCTGGATTCCCTCCCATCTCTAGGAGTGGGAAAGGTATCTGGGAAGCCTTGCTGAGAGAAGCAGAAGGGTTCAAAAAGAGGCTAATTGGCATTCAGCCAGGCGAGTTCTAATCCCAACACCTCCACACTAGCTTTCTGTGAGGAGGTAGGTCAATGTATGCATGATGTGTTTTCTGTTCTGTTTGATGGACTGGTGTGTCTTAGCTCACAGGATTAGAATGAGGATTAAGTCAAGAACAACATGGGCATGCTGTAGAGACACACTTGCCCTGAGTCAGGTCTCCTCCTCCTTACACTGGGAAGCACTGCAGCACCTGTTCTTCACACCTAACTTAAACCCTCTCTTCTTCTAAGCAGTGACAAATCAATCCTGCCCTGGGGCAGAGCGCCATGGCAACCTTCCCTGCTGCTGGAGCCTTTATTGTACAAGTCTGCGCTTGCTTTCGCTCATGCGTAAGTGGGAAAGCCAGGGACACATTATCTTTCAAATCTTTTTAGAGCTTCAACTCCTCAATTTATATGCATTTCAAATTCTTGTGAAGACATGGTTGTCTGCAAATGTCTCTGCTCAACTCTTGTAAGAGAAGCAAGACTCATTTTCTTGCTTTAGGATAGGCTACTTAGGTGCTTTTCTGGTAGATGTTGTAGGAGCCAAGGAAAAAAAGTGAGAAACTGCTCACCACCACCATTTTCCCGTCGACCAGCCTTCTGCGGATCATGGCTTCTTTGCCATCCCAGTCCTGAACTTGAACCAAGGAGTCGTTATCTAAGATTACTATATTCTGTAAAATAGAACCGAATTCAGGTTGACACATTTGAGCATTGATGTCTCTTAGAAGGGGCTAAATTCACATGTGTTGGGACACTGTGGATTTGAGATATTAAACTTTTTGTTTCAAAACCTTCCCAGCAGCACTTTGCTGGATGATTCTTCTGGGAGAGGGGGAGATTTATAAGAATAAAAGTAATGACTTAAGGAAGAACTTTATCTTTTACAGTCTAGAGAAGGCCTTATTTTTATCAATCAGAAATAAGCATCAGTTTCAACAACATAAAACTCATTAAGAAAGTCCCAATAAAGCTTAAAGGAGCAAAGTCCCCTTTCCTGTTCATACCCATAGTATTTCCCATGGTATTTGTTTGTTTTAATTGCACTTTTCTCTGTAGTTTCTTTTAAAGATTTTATCACAGATATCTCAGATGCCTTTATTAATTGTCTCAGGTCAAAATTCTTTCAATTTACATACACCAGAATTCTAAGTCTCCTGTTTATTTAGTTACTCTGTGTCAAAAGGGTACAATTATTCCTTTAATCAGAATGTTGACCTTAGTAGAGAGTAAGAGTCCTCTACTGAGGTCTTTCACTCAAACAGGAAGGATTTGTTGATCAGCTACTATCCACCAAACACTGGGCTCTGTGAAACAGGTGACAAATGCCATTGTTTAGATGGCACAATCTAGTATGGGGAAAACTGAAAACACACAAAAATAAAACACAGGAAAAATGTATATTATAAATAGATGCTATGTTTCAATTGGAGGCATGAGATGCACGTAAAAGTTATGTCACTTCCGGGCTACGCAAATGTGCAAATGAACAATGTAGTGTCCCTTTCTCTTCCTTCTTGACTGAGGAGACCATGGTACCTACAATGGTACAGTTACAAGGAATGAGGTATGTGAACCTCCTCTGGCCTGGGTCCCTGAAAGATTAAAAGCCTTACACAGACACACACACACACACACACACACACACACACACACACACACACATCTCCTTATCTGTACTCCAACACTTCATATGGATTTTGAGTTAGAAATTCATGGGACAGGATTATAATCTCATCTCTATGAGCTAAGACAAGTTGTGTCCATTGTAAAGTTCCATGTGTGGAGCCTACAAAATGAAAGGGAGAACTTTTATTTCTGAGAGATTAAATACTGATTTAGGTAGACCACTCTCCAAATGTGCAGGTGCTCATCAAATATTTCATCCCCTCCACCCAGGGGGAATTGTAATGGGCAACTTCAGAGGATCTAGAGCAACCTGGGATGAGTCTTAATGAGGAATCGTCTCGATCAGTTTGGACTGTGGGTATGTCTGTGGGGGACTGTCCTGATGGCTAATTGATGTCAGAAGATCCAGAAGATTAGCTGGTAGAGATGAGGTTATAATCCGGTCCCATGAGGTTCTCAATGGCTAAAACACAATGGAGAATTATTTCTAACTCAAAGTCCATATGAAGTGTTGGGGTAGAGATGAGGAGGTATGTGTGTGTGTGTGTGTGTGTGTGTGTGTGTGTGTGTGTGTGTGTGTGTGTGTGTGTAAGATTTTTAATCTCTCAGCCATGCATGGCACCATTCCTTGCCTGGGGAAGGGAACGGGTGAACAGTATAAGAAAGAACTAGCTGAGAACACGTTAGAAAGCAAGGATGTGTTTGTTTCCTCTCTGCTCTTGACTGGCTGGGATGTGACTAGCTGCTTGAGTTCCTGCCTTGGCTTGACTTCCCTGAAATGATGGACCATGACTTGAAATTGTGAGCCAAATAAATCCTTTCTTCTCAAGTTGCTCTTTGTCAGAGTGTTTGTCTCATTGGCAGAAATAAAACTAGAACAAGTAATAAAATGTATCTCCCACCTCCAAGGGATAAAATATAAAAATCTGGAGAGATCATAATGTATATTTTCTTTCAACATCTTCAGGTTCAGTGTTTAGGCAAAAATTTGTTTAGGAAACCCTTGAAATGTATGTTGGCTGTTGCTGCCTAATACAATATTTCTAATTAAATATCAGTTCTCTGAAGGTCTGATGCAGGCCTCACCTTGTTTTTGCGGCCACTTGGTGTGATTTCCTCGAACTCCTCCCCCAGCTTGAAGGAAATCTCATTGTTTTTGAAGATGCTTTTGGTTTTGATGGTGATCACATCTCCATCTACACTGATGGTCACGGTAGGTTTTGCCAGACAGCCCAGCTTCCTGTTGACTCTTCCTACTCCTAGAAGGAAGATAATGAACACATAGTTATATATGTTGTTGACTTCAAGAACTCCGTCTATTTGTACAATTCTTTCCTAAGGAGGAGGTTTCTGCAGTAAGCAGACTTCACGCTGTATGTGTTCAAATACCTATTTTAATCGTATTTACTTACTTGTGTGTGGTGTATGTGTACATGTGCATGGGTTGTTTGTTCTCTACTACACTTTTTAAGGTTATACATTTTATTATTAAAAACTTTGCAAATAAAAACATTACACACCAAAATTTACCAGGCCCAAAGTTTTACACAACTCAGTATTACATATTTTATTGTAGCACAATACATGTAACAAATTTACCATTAAATGTACAATCAATGGCATTATCTGCATTGTGACGTTGTATAGCCAATTCTATAGAGGGTCTTAAATATATTATTAGTGCATTAAATATATTGTTATTCATCTTTCTTTTCTTTTATATTTATGTCTTAGAGATTTTAATGTAAGTACACACACACACACACACACACACACACACACACTATGCATCATCATGTATGAGATGCATATACCAAAGGTTATTTTTTGTCCCCCCATTGAAGACCGATTAGTTTATATTTTTTTGCTTCAGATGCTGCTTCAGAGTTAACCTTGTGCATATAGTGTTGGGCAGTACATGTAGGGATGCTTTCAGTAGAAAAAGAATTCAATGGGCAACAATATCTAGGGTAGTTTTTTTTAGCAGGTGACTTGGGGAAATATTATAATGCGGTTCTCATGTTTTCTGTCGACATATAATCACAGCATAGATCATATTGGATAATTACTTCCAAATGATTCCTATCCTACTTCCCAGAACCTGTGGCTATTTCCTTGTATGCTGAGGGGATGGAGGAGATGTGCAGAGCGAGGACTGTAAGGAGATTGTGGTGAGAGAACCCTCAGTGAGATCACAGTGTGCTCCTAAGAGAAAGCAGACAGGAGATGAGATGGCTCAGAGAGGAAAGAAGAGAGAGACTCATGACCTAAATTCAACATCAGCATCCACACAAGGTAGAAGGAAAGCACCAAGATTCCAAGATTCCACAGAGATGTCTTCTGACCTCTGTACCACACCATGGCCCAGGTACTCAAATGCATGCATCGTGTACACACATAATAATAATTAGTTGATAATAATGTATTAGAGGAAAGATGTATTAGACTACAGAAGAAAAAAAAAGTCAGGGAGAAAATGGCAACAGAAGTAGTCCTGGACTCACATTCCAAGGAATGCCAGCAGCCACCAGAAGCAAGAAGACGAAATTCACTAAAGATCAAGGCAAATACTTATTAAAAACAGCTACTCTTTAAAAGCATGTTTTTATCATAAATTATTTACTAAAATAGTTTTCTGTTCAGTATATGATGTATATGCACTGTGTTTCTATGGATCCATGGAGATCCACTAATCTCAATCTAGTTTGCACAGAACTACATCTTGGTGGTGAATCAACATTGTTTTCTATGTGAAAGATTGCTCTTATTTCACACACAGCAAGTCATTCTCCATCAAAGTATCTTTCATACTGGATATGATGTGCACATAAACATGGCTCACCCAGTTCCTTCAAATAGTTTTCAAAATTTTCACAAGAAACAGATTTCCATGTTCCTTGAAGCTGGTCCACCATCACGTCTCAGTGAAAACTGCTTCATATGGATGTGTGCATTGGTGTTCCCTGAAATGGGTTTGGAACCTGTTTTTAATACAATTCTGAATACAGAAAACTAGACGGAAAAGTGAGGAACTCCCACCTTTATGATTCAAAAGTTCTCTACAGCATCAAGAAGCCAGGATGGGAACAGACCAGGCAGTAGCCTTCAGCAGGATTAGCCATGGCTAAGCCAGCACTTACAGGAGGCTACTGCCCTTCTCCAGCACTGGCCACCACACAGATGATCCGAGTCCTCTTATGCCATAAGACTCCTGCGCCAAGATCTGCATCTGCACACAGATGATTTGTGAAAAACCACTATGCTGGCTGGCTAGTGATCTATTTTTCTCTTATATTCTTCTTGACCATTTGGACTAAAAGCCAGAGAGTATGCATATATAGTGCCTGGCATTTGAAATGGAAAGTTTAGTCAGGCTTAGAACCACCATTGCATGCTACTGAGCAAAAGACTATAACTAAAATAATAGGAAAGAGTAAGTTTTCCAGGGGCCTGGTCCGGTACTCATCGGCTGAGGCTGGCCTTGCTTGGACAGATCCCAACATTCTTAGCCAGTTCCTTAACTTAGAGTGGTTCCCTTCTTTGCAACCAGAGGTAGGACAGTAACCACATCAACTAGAGAACAGGACTGTAAATGGCAAATTGAAGGACAAACTCTCCCTTCAACCCACCAGCCCCTGAGGACTTCCTGGTGGGTTGAAGCAATGCTTGCAATCTCTATGTTAGCATATGACCACTAAGAAATGTGGGTGTTACACATTCCTTAAGACAGAAAAGGTGGTAAAACTTTTGTAATTCCCATTAAAATGTTCAATTTCCAAAACCCACAATAACTGCGAAGATCATTAACCAGTTCAACTGTTTCGTAACAATTATTCAACAAACATAAATGGAGCAACGAGTGTTACATGCCTAAGAAGACTAAGAGACTTTGTGTATGCTAATAATTAAACATCCCAGTTATAGAGATAAGGAGACAAAAACATTTTGGTTGGTTCTTTCCTGAGTTAGGCAACTTGACATCATGATATATATATATATATATATATATATATATATATATATATATATATATATATAAATGTATAAATATTGTAAGTTTATATATAAGTTTATGTCCACCCCATGTAGTAGTCATGAGTAGTAGGCAAAAAAATGACCTGGTGGTTCTCAAATAGAAGGCACTAAAATTCCTCTGTTGAACATGCTACTGCACATGTTATTGTCCCTCCTGAACAAGACATGATGCTGGAATGATGTTGCTCTGTGGCTGATAACTTAGGCATTCAGAGGTGCCAGTGGCTGAACCATGACACAGAATTCAGGCATAACTTCTGTCTCTAGCACCCGACTCCTCTCTTCATGAGGCAGCATGTCAGGTTCAAGCACTAGCTAACCTCCAATGGCAAGGTTGCTTCGTCTACTTGGTTATTCAAGTGACAGATCCTTTCCGGTGTTCATTAATACGAGTCAATCATCTACATTCCATTCTGCACCAGCCATGCTTGTCTGCCATTCTTCAGCCCATCCTCACAGATTTCCAACCAGCCTCTGTAGTCTACCTGTTGCTACATGTGTATTCCTGTCCCAGGCCACTGCTCCATCCACATAAACGAGGTGACTGATACACCACTCTGTCCATGGAAACAATGTCCCCTCACTACTTCTTAAGCACCCCCCCTCAAAGTAATAAAATATCGGCCATTGCTCCCAACACTGAGCTGGCTAACACATAGAGCATATGTTCAGGATTTACCTCCCGACTTTGACTGGCTGTACCCCTTCCCATATTGTTCTGGTATCATCTGAGGGTGGGGGGCTTCTGGTATTGTGATATGTGATGTAGGAGTCAGGGCTGCTTGCTCATGAGGTTACCTTGTGACTTTTGGACTTCCTAAACTTGCTCTCAGACAGAGTTTAGTCCTGTGGTGGACTGCTGCTAGGCCTGCATGGGGTAACAACTGTGCATCTGTAGAGTCCAGCTCATAATGGATAGTTCCATTCCCTGTGGAGTCCTCTAGCTCAGAATTCCATCACTACTTAACTACCTAACACAGGAACTCTATCAAAAGGCACCTATGTTTCTGTTGATGATGGTGTGCCATTGTCCAGCAACACCAGAATTCTGTGTTGTAAAGCTCCCGTACACACCCTGGGCCATCCTGTCTCTTTCCTGCTACTAACGATCCAGCATCGGAGGGTTTGTCAATCTTAAGGCTCAAGCTGTTACTGTCGCCCCAACTTTCTGCAGCTCCTCCTCATGCATGCTGCTCCACTCAAAGCAAGAAGACTGTTTCATCTGCAACACAGTTGGGGGCTCATTCCTTGATTACATCGCCACCACGAACCAAGGTTTTCTACGGAAATGTTAGTAGAAGAGGCAAAATACAGCAATTTGTATTTTGGAGAGATGACTGTAAGTGGCCTTGACTAAGCTGGACCCTTCGACTCCACAAGAATAGAAGCACTCTCAATAATTTTGAAATATATTTTATTTTTTAGTTGTATGTGTGTATCTGTATGTGGCTATGTACATGAGAGCAGGTGCCCTCAGGGTCCAGAGGTGTTGGGTCCATTTGGAGCATGAATTACAGGTGGATGTGAGCCATCTGATGTGGGTGCTAAGAACCAAACCTAGGTCCTCTAAAAGAGAAGTGTATAGTCTTAAGCACTGAGCCATCTCTCAATCCTCAGGATTATGTTTTGTTGTCGTTTTCTTTTGTTGAGGGTATTCTTTTGTTTTTGTTTGATTCAAAGCCTCACTATACGGCCCTGGGTGGCCTGAAAATATCTATGTAGACCAGACTGGCCTCACAGGCACAGAAATCCCTCTGCTGCCCCAGTGCTGGGAGTCAAGGGCATGTGCCACCACACCCAGCTCATCACCAATGTCAACCCCGCACTCTGAATTGCACATGCCTTACCAATGCCTCCAGCACGTTAGCCTCTCCTTGTTCATCCCTCTGCCCCGTGGGGTGTTGTGTAGCAGTTGTCCACATAGTTCAGTCTCACCTGGCTGTATGATGACCGGGACCAGAGGTTTATCCAGCCCTGGGACTAAGGTGCACGCATACTCTCTGCTTCATGGAAATGCAGTTTGTCGTTTTCTTTTCCAATCTTTTCTGGTTGGGATAGAGAAGGACGACCAGTCACTATCGGCATCTACGCAGTAAGGATGCACTAATTTGTGCTAGGGAGAAACCCCTCAAGCAGAGCCAGGCATGGCATAGGTGTAATCTGAGTTTGCAGGAGTCTTTAGTCATCCTCCAGGATGCGTGTGTGGCACGCCAGCACAGTGTGTTAGATGAGGTACATGCTGCACACCGCTTCCTATGTTCCTCAGCAGCTGCAGAGAAGTATGGACATCTGCCGTTTGTCCCCATCACCATTACTAAATACACTTCTATTTTTGGCTTCTGCTGGGAATCAAGCTTGGAGCCTTAAATACACTAGGCAGACATGCTACCAACGAGCCACACTCCCAGTTCCCAGATACAACATCATTTGATCCACTATTATAGCCAGGGCAGGAGAGGGGTGAGGTTGGGGAGGTGCAGGAATGTGCCCCTTGTTAAGGGAGTTATATTCTTGGCCTGGTGGTAAAGTGCTGCCAGCTGGCCCACTTACCTTCAGAGTCTCTTCATCCCCTCTGTTATCAATGAGCCAAACTCCATGGCAACCATAGAAGAGCAACCGAAACTTAGTGACTCTGTGGTCTCTCCCATTGGTGTGTCCCTAATTGCCCCATAAATGATGCAGCTTCTGGACTTATGGGGCATACTCCTCTGAATTTCTACACACACACACACACACACACACACACACACACACATACTCCCTTTCCATAGAAAGATATAGAGATAATAATAACCTGCAATAAATCTTAAAACTTGACCACAAAGGAGATGAAAGCCTCACCATACAAGATTTCCATCTTCTGGCACACTGAATTTGAGTTATTTCAGCTAAGCCGCTTGAAGTACTTTAGAGCTGGACAAGGCTCAATTAGACCTTCAGAGCCTACTGCGTGAAGATCCCCACACTGTCTTTCCTTTCACAGGGGGACTGGAAAGAGACACACAAAATGCTCCCAGCATTATGAAAAATTTAAAACTGTGCTGAATCTCCCCATTCTTTCATATGAATGCCTAGCAATGTAACAGGAAGCTATTGAATGTAGCTAGAATTTTCCTGCCTTGCCCACAGTCAGGACAAATCTCTGTCACCCGCCAGTCCCATAGCCGCTCAGACCCAACCAAGTAAACACAGAGACATATTGCTTACAAACTGTATGGCCGTGGCAGGCTTTTTTTCTAACTGTTTTTATATCTTAAATTAACCCATTTTTATAAATCTACCTTGCCACGTGGCTGGTGGCTTACTGGCATCTTTACATGCTGCTTATCCTGGCGGGGGCTGCAGTGTCTCTCCCCACTTCTTCCTGTTTCCCCAATTCTCCTCTCTCCTTGTCCCGCCTATACTTCCTGTCTGGTCACTGGCCATCAGTGTTTTATTTATATAGAGTGATATCCACAGCACTTCCCCTTTTCTTCTTTTTTTAAAAAGGAAGGTTTTAACTTTAACATGGTAAAATTACATATAACAAAACAAT